TACCGCGGGGGCGTTGCCCCCACACCCCCAACACATTCAGCATCCCTAACAACCAGACAGTGAATTAAACCCACGCAAGGCCGATGCCGTTTCTCCACTCAGTTCCATTCGATGCACTTCGCTTCTCTCACTCCACTCCACGCCGGCATCGCCCCTTTTGATCCAGGCCCTATGTTCCACTCTATATGAGCCACATACACAACAAATACTTTGCATCGATTATAGTTCAAACAATTTTTATGCGCGAAAATTATCATGACAAACTTTACTTAGATAAAAAATTATTTTTAAAATATAAGTAATTTGATTTTTCACAATTAAATCTTTATGAAATTACTTATCTATACTTAGTATATGAGAAAACCCTACAAGTACCTTAAAGAACATTTCTCACGAAAAAGAAAAATTCGAAAGACAAAATAATTGGCTCATCCGGAAGTCCGGATGGGGCTTTCCGGACGTTCGGATGTGGTGTTCAATGGTCGAATTTTTTACCGTTTGGCTAACGGCTAGTTAATCGTCCGGATGCCAAGTGAATGTTCAAATCACTTGTCCGAATCTCCTAATTGATAGCTATAAATAACTCTCTTTATACCTTTTTGTAAAGCTAGAATTCTAAAGCATTAAAGAGAGTTATTTATTGATCTTATCTACCTTGTTTTTCAATCTTTAAGGGATCAAAATATTTATTTGTTGAAAATTTTTTTGAGTGAGTAACTTTTTGAAAAATCATATATCTTAATAAAAGTTTTCACACAACGCTTGAGCTATATTCTTTGTGATTTATTAAAGTGTTGTGCCTAACTCTCTCTTAACATTTCATTGTGTTCCCATCATTTGTTAAGAGAGAAGCTTTTCAATTGTAACTTTGATTTTCTTGTGGGTCGAGTTGAGATCCCGGAAAGCTCAACGTGTAAAAGGATCGGTGTTCCTTAGTTGTAAGTTACCGGAAGCATTGTAAGGGTTGAATTGCATCTTAAGTCAATCAAAGATAGTGAAAAAGGCCTTGCTTGTGTCGTAGAGCTTGGTAACGGGGTATGTAGATCGTTATTGGATTGAACCTCCTTATTATATCGTTTGCACTCTCTTTTCTCTTTTCTCTTCCTCTTATTACTTTTGTATTGTCTTGTTTATTCATAGTTATTTGCTTAAATTTGCGTTTATGTTTGAAAAAGTTTCAAATAACCAATTCACCCCCCCTCTTGGTTAGTTATTCTTGGGCTTTCAGTTATGGTTAACTACAACTGAAAACCTTAAACCTTACAAATTATAATGACTAGATGATTGTGGAGATATTAAGGTGAATAAGAGAGTATTTGTGAACTTCTCGATTGGACGGTATAGTGATGAGATATTATGTGACGTCGTTCTTATGCATTTTGGGCATATTTTGTTGGGTAGGCCATGGCAGTATGATAGGAAGGTAAAACATAATGGGTTTAAAAATAGGAATAGCTTTGTTATAAATGGAAAATCTGTTTTACTTGCACCCTTAACATACAACAAGTCTATGAAGACCAAATGAAATTGAGAGGTGAGGAAGAGAGAAAGAGCAAAGTGAGGTAAAAAGAAAGCCCAAGAGAAAATGGGAAGATGGCTAATTGTGAAAAAACCAGAGTATAGCCACAAAAGCAAAAAGAAAGAGAGACTTTTGAGATGAGAGGAAAATCCAAAGTGAGCTTTTATGCACAAAAGAATGAGGTCGAGAGTGCTTTGATGAGTACTAACAAATCCTTCCACACTTTGAACATTTCTTTAATGTAGGAATGCCAAAATTTGTTGCATGAGGACTTTCTTATGTCAATATCACCCTTTGAATATCCGATTGATTCACTACAAATGGGTAATCTCATAAGCATTGCAGGAGAAACACGCCATAATGACATGGTGGAATATCAAAGTTCCATACATAAGCTGGGTGAAGGCCTAGTGGATGGAATGCAAGGAATTGAGGTTAGTAAATGGAATAGGCATAAGATATTCAAACCAGGTGATTGGGTGTGGGAGATTCAGCGAAGGGGACGTGTTCGTTTGCAAAGAAGATGAAAATTACACTTGAGAGGAGATTGTCCATTTCACGACATTGCAAAGATTGAAGGTAATGGATACAATGGTGATCTTGAAGTTCTAGATTCGAGGATGAATCCCTACGAAGAAGGAGGGAATAATGTGATCCAAGGAAGGCCACGAATTACCAAGAATTTGATGATTGGGAGGAAGAGCATAAAGCTAAGTTCAAGACCTCGAAGGGTTAATAAAGCCATGTAAATTACTTGTTCGAGCTATGGAGTTCAAAAGGATGAAATGTGCAAGCTAAAGTTGTCCAAGTTATGCATCTGCATAGTAGTGAGCAGCGAGTTTTGGAGGCTGAAACACATGACTATGCGATTGCATAGGGGACTACCATGTGGTCACATAGTTCACTCGGACAATGAGATTTTTCCTTTTTTCGCGAATCTTTTATTTTGACTAGAACTCTTTTTTTTTTTTTTTTGTAACTTTCGTATTTTAGGAGTTTAATTTCGTTTTAAAATTTTTTCTAGGGTTTGGTATAGATAGGATTTACTACTTTAATTGTAAAATAGTTTTGATATTTGTGAGATTATTCAAGAGGTTATTTTGCTTCAAATCCTTTGTTCTTGAATTAACAATTTATCGAACTTATCAAGATTAATTTTTTGTGGCGTTCAAACAACCGGGTGAGATTCTTTAATCTTGTAATTAAGAGGTCGACATATCAATTGTTTGTGTTGGTTGCTTGGTTCAATATTTCCGGGTCAAATCCAAAACTTTGATTGTTTGGATTTCTTGAGTTTGATTTAATATAGTTGTGAGTTTTATAACCGCCGTTGCTACGTGGGTTCACATCACCTGGCAAATGCAAAAAACTAAATGTCGGATCGTAAGAAATACAATCAATGTACCATCAAAAACTTGAGTTGAGGTTGCATCAATGATTGATTTTGTTATAGAAGAAAAAATCATACTCATATCTATATTCTATTGATAAGATCTGGCTAGAGGTTTAACAAGCGCTAGCATTAAAATTATTTTTAATGGCTAAAATTTTGCAAGTGTAAGGTATCGTAGGCGTAGTAATAGAGCGTGAATAAAAATATTAGTCTCATGAAGACTAAGTACTTAATTCGATTCCAATTAATAATAACTCTAATCGAATAGCACAATATGATTGATTTTGACTAAGACCATGTTTGATTAGATATATTTTCCATGGAAAATGGAAAACATTTTCCATTTTCCACCAAAATATGGTGTTTGATTGCTAAAATTTCTGGGAATTTGATTTCCACATTTTCCTCCACACATGTGCCTTTTTCTTGAAAAGGTGGAAAATCAATTCCCACCATGTTGGTGGGAACTCGGTTTTCCAACTTTTCTTTCTTTTTCTTTTTCTTTTTCTTGATTTTTTTGATTTTTTTTAGCAATGGAAACAAAATCTATCAACAATTGCAAAAACAATTAGGAAAAATTGCAGCAGAAGCCCCAAACTTTTAAAACACTTGCAAACTTTTCCCAAACATTTGATTTGTAGCAGCCGTCACCCCTAGCCTTTACATACGTTGCATGAAGGCCTTTTTGGATGGAAACCATCCAAACGCCCGTCAGTTGATCGCCCAAATAAAAATTGACCACTTTTTAACCAAAACAGATGAGGGTAAAATCGTCCAAAACATTAGTGGAAATATGATTTCATTTTTCCAATAATATAAAGAAATTAATTTTAAGCATGAAAAATATAAAACAGCTCTAAAGTGTGATTAAAATTAAAAAGCCAACGGATTTAATTAAACAAAAGTAATGCTTAAATAACAAAGAATCATTAAACAATAGAGTACACAAAAGGTAAAAATAAATAATTAAACAATAACAGGAAAATTAACGAAACCCTAATGTTCATTCGCACTGGAAAAGTAAAACTTCCGAACTAGATCAGCAGATCTACAGCAAATAGTAGCAAAGAACAACAATGTAGCAGCAGATCCAGCAATCGGTACTCTGTTCAAAGTAGCGGCGTTGGGTGATGAATTAGGGGCTGCTCCATTGGTTCCGCAGCGATTGATGGAGGATTAACAGTAGATCTGACAGGTGCACCAGCAGGAGAAGTGGGAGAAGCGGGTAGAGAAGTCAATGAAGATTCAGAAGGTGATGAATTTGTAGGAGCTGAGGCTGGTGGATTGACGGTGACGGATGGTGAAGGAGTTGGTGTAGCAAACGCCTTAGATGGATGTAAAAAGGAAGATGAAAATGTGTTTTAAGTATTTGGATGATTTTACCCTCCTTTATTTTGGTTAAAAATGATCAATTTTTTATTTGGGAGGTCAACTGACGGGCGTTTGGACAGTTTCCGTCTAAAAGGGCCTTCACTGCAATGTATGTAAAGATTAGGGGTGACGGCTGCCACAAATCAAAGGTTTGGGGAAAGTCTGAAAGTGTTTTAAAGGTTTGAGGCTTCTGCTGCAATTTTCCCAAAAAAATTATCCATTTAGTGGACAATTTTTATGAAAAACAAAACCAAACAAACACCAAAAGATACAAAATTTCAACATTTTCCACGTGAAAAATTATATCAATCAAACACAATAATTTACAATTTCCAGGAAAACAATTTATATGCAATTTAATTTCCTGGAATTCATTTTCAATTCCATCTTTGTAATCAAAATGACCCAAGTGTATGTTTGATATATGAAAATTTTCCCTAAAAAATGGAAAATCAATTCCAATTTGCCTAAAAAACACATTCTTAAACAATAATTTGATATCGTTTTGACCACATATTCTTCAATAGAATAATATTACACGCAAATTTAAAACTTTTCCTTTTTAACTATACATTTCCCATCAATACACTATTCAAAAATATATTCTCATAAAAATAATGTGGCTCAAATAGGGGATCAATTTTCCGTCCTTCATCTTATCAAGTACGGAAAATTGAGGTTGATGTTCAGACATTATTTTTAAAATGAGAAGACTTTCCAAATTGCTTCTTCACAAGCAATATGAAATCTCAGGAAATGATAATGCTACAGAGAAAATTTTGGAGAATTAGCAAATGAATGTCAATACAATTTGGTCTGAACTGCATTATTATGATAATGAAATCACCCGCCACATAATTATTTAAACTATTTATTCCTTTTCACATGAATTATTAAGGCTATGCAACCATCATTCTTTTCTCAACACAAAATTGCAACTCGTCAAGTTTCTCTGTCCCTTCTTTTTCTGATGAGGATGCAAAGTGCACCAACAAATTCAAAATCTCCCTCTATATGGTGAAGATGCCATGTTCATGCTCGGACAGCTATCCACGGTGCAGGCCAAGATGTCTCTATAATCCCGGGATATCCTGAACGAATCATAAACTTTACCGTCTCTGCTTTTTTTGTACTCGAACAACAGGTTTGAATGGTCAAATGCTGTCAGTTTAACAAACCCATAATCAAAATCTCGATAAATACTCCAGTTTGGTTGGATGGTTGAAAACTCAGAAAGGCTTGCTCCTCCTCCCCCAGCAACCACGTGTATTGTTCCATTTAAGGATCTCTTGTAGAACTTCCTCTCCTTACTCGTACAGATGTTCTGGAGAAATGAAAAAAGGACAATAATATAGGTTATTCCAACGGTCACAATATCACTATTTTGTTGGATTTAGCTGCTAAATGTATAAAAGTTCATGAAACTAATCGATTCACAAAGTTGTTACATTACTTGGGATTCACAAAGTTGTTACATTACTTGGTAAACAGGACAGGTCCGTTCATAACTATGAACATGTCCGTACATGGCTATGTCGACTTTATACTTCTGCCAAAGTTTTTGAAGGTCATCTCTCCCCATTGGTTCTGAAAATGATCCTAAATTTGTATAATAAGCAGTGGAAGAATAACCCAAAACACGATGTGCAAGGAAGATCAGCCAAGGTTGCTTCTGTCTGTCTACAGATGCCAAACAGTGCTCAATGAATATATATTGCTCCGATCCCTCTCTCCAGTCATGTTCTGTGTCGGCTATGCAGAATCGGAACATGCCATAGTCAGTCGAATACCTGAGATAATAAGAGAACGTTCTTATAACATCTTCATTCTTAAATCTCTTGAAAATTAAGAATAGATATTGCACAAGAGACTAATGTTAAAATTTTCTCTTGCCCCAATTTCTCTCCTCTTAGATAATGTTCCCATTCAAAAAGGTCGTATTCTCGATCTCACCTAAGATAGTAGTCTATCCAGGACTATCCTTAACTGGGGCAAGAGAGAATCAATGCAAAGCCCTGTAATTATTTTCAAAACTATATTAATTGTCCTATTCTGAAGTCAAAAGCAATATATTGATTGAGGGATGTTAGGGATGGTAAATGGGAAGAACAAAAGATAGATTACAAGAAGGGAATTCGATCTAACAACTGGTTATAAGTATTTATGGTATGTTAGAATTTCATTCAAATGTCTATGTCAGTTATGGTCCACTGGAAGAGTTGCACTTGTAGACAATAGTAACTGGAGAACAGATACTCTTGATCTCTTGCTCCCATATTTCTAAAATAAAAAGTGACCGCCAGAGTTACTCGAGCATCCTACAGCTTTATTGATGCATAAACCAAATTTTCACATGTACTACTTGAAGAATAAAATTAATCTAAAAGATTGTTTCACCGCACCAGAACTTAGCTCGGTTTTCAGCTGGAACAAAAAACATAGTTTCAGCCAAGACACCACATTCTCCACCTGAATCCATATTTCCATAGAATGATCCTGTATCAGGCCAGTCTCGCTCATGGTTGCCACTGTAAATATAAACATCAAGCAAAATCAAAAGTTTTGAAGACTAAATTTGAAAGAATGATGTGTCCCTCTCTAAGGGTTTTATGCTTTTAGATGGGGCGGGTTCAAGTCTCGCCCCCATCTATTTACGAAAATTGTGCACTATGCATCTGGCATGTAAAAAAATAAATTATTTTAATAAATGAACTTGTCTCCTCACTAATAGCTTAAGCCATTGGATGAGGTGGTTCACAGAAAGCATATACACATCAAGTCTCCTAAAATTCAGAAATTGACCTTGCAATCATGTAGGGTACACTTGAAGCAATTGGTTCAATCTGAGAAGTAAACTGATCCCACTGGGAAACATAACCATTGGCATAACAGATGTCCCCGATGTGAAAGACTATATCAATGTTCTTCAAGTCATTAATTAGTTGCTTGCTAGTGTTAAGGGAGCCACGTTGAAAATTATTATACTCATTAGAGCCATCATATTCATCCTGCATACATAAAAGTGAAAATAAAAGATCATCAATACATTACAAGAATGTGACTCGACTTCTAGATTAAGTCTCCAATATTTTCCAGATCAACAAAATAATAGAACCTGAAGCTGCGCCACTTCTCAACAGAACTCAAGATAACAGATCCCATACTTCAAAAAAGTTTACATAAAACTTACAAATTTTTAAAGAGAACTGATTAAATAAGATATGCTTTTTTGTTCATGTAGTAACTGAATCATGACTATTATACCAAGGAATTGCATGTGGAATTCAGCCAAAGAATTCAAACCTTTCCCATGTCACCAAAAATGACAACTCGTTGTAAAGAGTTTTGACCAGGATAAGGAGATGCTTTGAATTGGTAAGTCTGAGTCCAAATGTATGTACCGTTGAACAACTTATGCCCCAATTTGTAGGTGTACCTGCACATTCAATATGCAGCTTCATCACATTTTGACTCCCTTGGTCTCCATTCTGGCACAAAGCTTATCAAGAGTCAATTTATTTGACATCTCGCTACCACTAGTTCAAATTTTAAATCATCAGCAAGTTTTAAGACGTGTTGGATACATAGACGTCATTGTGTTTCTCAATTTCATAACTTTGAACGGGCAATCTTGGCTACTAAATGCAAAAAAGTATTTCCATTTTTCAGACATCCAAAAACATGTTCACAAATAAAAATTATATTCACAACTTGGAAAGCAGTAAACAGAAGAAATCAAATAAAAAGAAATTATATCCATTTGCTTAATCAGGAAAATTAAGTGAAACTCAAATTTTAGGAGAGAACTTATATCCATTTCAAATTCATCCTAAACCACATTTCTTCTTGTTCATTTTCTCTATATTTTCCCCTAGCTACCAGTTATAAAGAGTCTTAAATGGATAAGTGAATCCCACAGAAAGGTCAGTGTGTTTCTGAAAAGTTGACATAAATATGGATTCCAAGATGTAACATACACTGAATTAGGCCATAACTCCTTCAAAAAACCAGTATGAATGAATCCCGGATCCCGCCATCCAACAGTTCTGGCTGGTGAACCTGCAAACTTGTATATCATATTAGAATACACGCAACAAAAGTGACAAACATTTGTTATTTCAGTCAATGAGTTGCAAGATTGCAATGTCAAGCTATATGCAGTTATGCACAAAAGAGTGATTGAAAGAAAAGAACTTAAATGGATCAGGTTTGAAGATAGAATAAAAATAGATAACGGTTCCTTTATCATATTTTGTCGTCACTCTCCAAAATAAATTAAAGGTCCCATTACTCACCACACATGCTTCTACGATTAAAAGTGAGTGTAGCAGCAGGAGAACGTTTCTGTTCTTCTCCTTTTGGACCCCATTCGACAAAAGGCTCTGCCTCGCTGATGCCATATCCACTTGTCCAGGTTACTGTCATCTGAGAATCAGGTCCAAAACAAGTGATTTTTCCAACTTGCAAAACAAATCTCTTATAAATTAAATGCCATGGCAGTGTTATTGGACCCAAAAAAAAAAAAAAAAGGGATATTTACAAAAGGAAAAAGAAAACTAGAGATGGGATGTCATAAGGTTGTGATAAATTAGATTATTAGAGGAAACAAACTCACTTCATTCCAAGTTTTTCCTTGTGCTAAGCGTGGGTATACTGGTGCATTTGGATTAGCAAAGGCAACTGTATTTGACAATGCTGCCAACTTTGGCTGTTGCAAGTGGAAAGATACTATGTCAAAACAAAAATTTCCATGAATAACATCCAAGAAACGGTTTTCCATAGGTAAACCTAGATACAATCAAGATAATCCAAGGAACCTGCAGATATGGGGTAAAAAATGAAGAAATGATGTCATGATAGAATACCAAACGTATGTGTACATATAGCTGTGAAAAGCAAGGAGTTTATTAGCTATTCCTTCAAAAGCTCATTGCCATGGCATGTAAAACACTGAGGGCTGTTTGATGTAAAATTTTTTAGACTAGATTTGTGAAAAGTGATATTTTTGGAGAATGTGTGGTTAAAAAGTAGGGAAAAGTCATGGGTCCATGTACAAAATTATTTTATTGGGAGAATGTGTGGTTGAAAATGAGTTAATGGAAAATTGAATTTTAAACAATCTCTACCAAACAGGGTTTCAGCTTTCTGTCATGAGAGATCAACAAGTAGTAAATGAAATTTTTTGGTAAGTTTCCATGAAAATTCAAATCATCTGTAGTTTAACTCAATCAACTTTCTTAGAATTCATTTTATTGCAGTCTTACAAAGTTCTATGTAGGCTACAAATTCAACAGGCTTGAAAGATAGAAATCTACAATGTAAAGCACTTTATTAGTCTACCTAATATCCTGACTGATTTGAGGGGAAAAGAGATTTTATAACAGTAAAATACTGGAGATGGTTAATTGTTTTTAAATTTGAATTAATAATAAATCAAATGCAATTTGTTCTCTAAAGACAACTACAAGTTACATACATTTGAAACTCCACCAGAAAATAAACCAAATGAAAAGTCGGATCTCTGGTTAATCAACTGAAACCTCAAAACTCCTTTTCCCGTATTCTTATACTTCCAGGTGGTGTAGTTTGCAAACTGATACTGCATGGAATAAAAGTATTAAGTTAGTGCCTCTCTTTACATTTGAGCAAACACCGTGCTGACTCATTACACAAAACTTATGGGATGACAGGATGGCACAAACCTTTATAGGTGCAGAACACAAAAATGGTGGCCCCACTCGTGGATTTTCAGGGAGGCACGTAGACGAGCTAAAAAGAGTTTATAGAAATTCGTCAAATTAGCTTCATACTATAACAATATACAATAGATATAAGATTCAGTAGAATTATTCACGTCTACTTGAGGTAGAGTTTCTGGAAACACATTAATTCTACCTGAAATTGGCCGGAGAAAATACTCCAATCCAATCATCATTTGATGGCCTTGGGTTGCTATATTCCAAAGTCACCCACTCTTTGTTTTGCTCCTGAAGCACAGATGAAAGTTTGGTAATTTAGAACATCTCTTTATATTTTCAGTTTTTAGACCTAGTTCAATGTACTGGATAACAAATGTGAAAAAAAAAAATAAAAAAATGGTAAAAATAAATAGCAATACTATTAAGTATTCACCAGTGTCAGATTCAATTGCTCATATTTTATGACACCGATTTCTTGTTAAATTGAAGGGGTGTGTAATGAAAGGCCTTAATCATACATTTCCAACTTACTTTATTTCCTAGAACTGATGGAGAGGCTTTAATATACGCATCATTGTCAATAGCAAAAACAGTTTTGTGAATAGCAATTCTTGAAAGAGGCTGAACTCCATGTGATATCACACCTTCAAGGCTCACCAGAGCCCAGAATACCATCAGCAGAGTCATGAAAACTCGCATTGCCCCGAACCCAGTATCTGAAATAATAAGAATGACTAAAAACATACAAGAAAGACCATCTTTGTATTCTACAACAACCAATATTAGATGCAACAACAACAAACTAAGCCTTCTGTTCGATTCATAATAACCATTATTAGACATTTGTCCGAATAGAGGGAACTCATTCCATACAAATATCGATTTTCTCTTGCCATCATGAGGCCTTAAACAAAAAATCCAATCCTCCCACCCACACAAAAAGATAAGAAAAGGAGAAGCTGCTAGAAGCTTAAATTCATATAAGAGATTAAATGCACAGAACATATCAAGTTATTTATAACAAGACACACATACAGAAAACTTAACAAACTATTTCTTTCATTACTTTGGGTACTGTACAACAACGAAACTTGCAATGACAAATCACTCAAAAAAAATAAAAAGTAAAAAAGCAGCAGCACAATCTGGGAACAACCAACGTATTCAAGAAACTGAAAATCAGCAACTGGGCTGGGCATTGAACATAAACTCAAATAAACTCGCAAAACAATTTAAACAATCCCATATAAACACTGCGGACCGACCTTCCTGAAGCCAAAACGGTTCAGAATTTCAGACGGAAAAACGTTAAGCAATTTCT